AGGTTGTGTGTCTTTCTATAGTAGATGGAGGATTGTACTCTCTATAGGAGATGGAGGATTGTACTCTCTATAGGAGATGGAGGATTGTACTCTCTATAGGAGATGGAGGATTGTACTCTCTATAGGAGATGGAGGATTGTACTGTACTGCCCCCGGAGGTTGTATCATGAATGCTCACCTTTCAGGGCTAGAATGCCATGGCAGAAGTCCTTGAAGTTGATGCGGCCCAGCTCGTTGGGGTCCAGATATCTCACCACTTTTTCCACCTGTAACATGACGGAAGGAGATTGCCATCAGACGTGGGGAGGAGGCGGAGCAATAAGAGACATTTATCAGACTCCATGAAGCCATCGCACGTCTCACCATATGATGGATGCTGCGGTGACAAAGAGATGGCGCTATCATGAACATGAGATGTGAGAAGACACGGACACGCCAAAGATGCTGAAGAACATTATTTACACGTCAGTACCATCACGTAACACGGATGTTTCGGGGGTCACACAGGATCCCCTTCATCAGGCAGAACCATGTGACAGCTGTGACCCCGGAGCCTGGAATCTGGGACTGGTCTATCACTGATTCACACTCAGCCCGGCCATTGGGAGGCGTATCAACTTACAGGGCAGGATGCCATGCTCTAGAGCGCACACCAGCACAGTACCAGTGATCACAGTGCAGATCACACACAAAAAAGGTGCAGAGCCAATGAGAGTGGTTCAATACCATGTGATGGCTGTGACCAATCACAGTATCACCCAGATTAGCAGCTGGCTCTTCCTTTCCTCTCACACACTGATTGGTTGTGAGGGGAAGCAGAGCCTCGCCAGCCAATGCCATCCATTACCAGTGTCATCCAGTACCAGTGCCAGACAGAATCAGTGCCATCCAGAACCAGTGCCAGCCAGTGCTAGAACCAGTGTCATCCACTGCACCCAGCACCAGTGCCATCCAGAATCAGTGCCATCCAGTACTAGAACCAGTGTCATCCAGTACACCAAGTGCCATCCAGGAGCTTTACCATCCATTACCAGTCTCAGCCAGTACTAGAACCAGTGCCATCCAGAACCGGTGTCATTCAAATCCAGTGCCATCCAGAAGCTGTGCCATCCATTACCAGTCTCGGCCAGTACTAGAACCAGTGTCATCCAGTACCAGTGCCATCCATAATCAGTGCTAGCCAATACCAGCACCAGTGTGATCAAGCGCATCCAGAACCAGTGCCAGCCAGAAGCTGTGTCATCCATTACCAGTGCCAGCCAGTATCAGCACCAGTGTCATCCAGAACCAGTGCCAGCCATTACCAGTCTCAGCCAGTACTAGAACCAGTGTCATCCAGTAATAGAACCTGTGCCATCCATTACCAGTGCAAAGACGCACAATGCGGAAGCAGTCGCGTGTCAGTCAGTGATATTGTACAGAAGCCGAGGGAGTCATTTATAATAAATCTGTCACACTCTCTGTCTCCCGGCTCCTGGTTAGCATTGCCTTGCTGTGTGAAAGAGCTGACAAATGCCCCCCGGTATCACTCTAGTTATCATGATGTGTGGTAACCCATAGCAACCAATCACATTTCATCACATTAGGGAGCTACAGAAGATAATGACTTCTTAATGTTTTTTGTTACCAAGGCCGGAATTCTGCCGTTCCCCACAATGCTTTGCAGTGTTCATGTCTGTGGTCCGTACGTAGCACGGGATTCATATATTTATCTGACAATAACCCGCACAATGTTTCCTTGAAGTAGAACTCGTCCTCATTCTGTCTCCTCCGGCGGCACGGAGGAGGATCTGATAAGACGATTATTATGATGTCATGGAGCCATCAGACGTTCAGTGACACAATGTGCTTGTCTATATTTGGGGGTCACACGTGGTCACTTTGTGCTCCAGTATCCACACACGGCACTGTCACGCTTTGTGTCACCCCAGCCTGTATGGGCCATTCCTAGCAAAGGTCCAACTCACAGCAACCAATCAGATACAAGCCTGGGCAGGACATGGCGGCTGGAGAATGAATGTTGGAATCCTATTGGCTGCTGTAATGTGTCGAAGACAATTTGTGGTCTACCCTGTTTCCCCGAAAATAAGACCTACCCCGAAAATAAGACCTAGTACAATTTTTGGGAATTGCTAAAATATAAGACCTACCCCGAAAATAAGACCTAGTTGTGACCATTCCCAGGGCCGGTGGTGGCATAAGGGGGAACTTGAAGAGCCGCGGGAGAGGCAGGAGAGAATCAGCGGTGCCAACTAAGCCGGCGCTAGAGGAAGCGAGGCGGCAGCACTGGAGGGAGCAGAGCCGCATAAGCCGATGCCTCCTCTATAGCGCCGACTCCTGTCACAGGCGGAGTCATACCAAATGCGCTCCGTCTGTGAGGAATCCATAGTGAAAGCTTTGCTCATTCTGGCCAGCGATTGGTTAGCAAATTGCTCTTGGAAAGGTACGGCCCCCCTGATTGCCCTGATCACCATATTTTTGTACATGAATACATGTAGACTGTTGGACATGAATAAGTGTGGATTGTTGTACATAAATAAAAAAATAAGATCTCCCCCGAAAATAAGACCTAGTGTGTTTTTTTTGAGCCCAAAAAAATATAAGACAGTGTCTTATATATAATCCAGCAGAGAACGCCATTCCTGGTCACATGACAGAGCAAAGCGCAGACAATCAGATGTCTCCTTTCATCAGCATGCAGCTGTGTGATTAGTAAAGGATGACTGCTGATTGGTTGAGTAGGTGCACCTGATTATATGTCACAGTGTGTGAGCAGGGCAGCCATCAGAAATTTTGGGGCCCCTTACACGGCTTTAGGCCGGGCCCCCCCTGCGCCGCTGGACGCAGGGCTTAGTGACACGCTGGACGCAGGGCTTAGTGACGCGCTGGACGCAGGGCTTAGTGACGTGCTGGACGCAGGGCTTAGTGACGTGCTGGACGCAGGGCTTAGTGACGCGCTGGACACAGGACCCACCTGAGAGTGACCCTGCAGGGCTCTGAAGGGGTCTCAGGTGGGCTAGTCAGAGCTGCATCCCTCCCCTCCCTCCTTTCCTTCCTTCCTAGCTCCTCTTACCTGCACACATGGCCTCGTCTGCCGCCGGACCGCCCAGAAGTGACGCCACGTCCATAATAGACCAGGCCTCCGCCTCCTCACCCTTCACCGTCAGCTGATAGTCATGTAAGGGACCCGGGCGGGCCCCCCAGGCTGCCCGGGCCCCTTACATGACTATCGGCCGTACCCCCCCTGATGGCTGCCCTGTGTGTGAGATCAGCGACTCCGCCTACATCTCCCCGGGGAGCCGGTCCAGTGTCTCTTCTCTGCCCAGCACCACGCATGGCGATGTCACTGGAAGCGGCTATACATTGTGAGATCAATATCGGTTCTGATCCATCTCATCCGACTCCAGAATTCCACGTCTGTACTGTAGTCACAACCCTCTAGGTTATTCACCGTCTCCATTATTCATTGTCTCCTCTCCGTTATTCACCATCCCCTCTCCATTATTCACCGCCCCCTCTCCATTATTCACCGCCCCCTCTCCGTTATTCACCGTCTCCTCTCCATTATTCACCATCTCCACTCCATTATTCACCGCCCCCTCTCCGTTATTCAATGTACTGTACCCATTATTCACCATCT